CCAAGGGGTCCCGGCGAGGAATAGTCAGACGCGGGGGCAGGAGACTGCACTCTTCTCCTCCGGGAGCTGGTTTTTATAGTCTGAGAGTCTTGGCCGCTGATGGAATTACACGGCGCCAGGGGGCCAGTTGGTGGGTGTGACCCCCGCCTACTGGAAAATCAAATTAGTAATGGAAAGAAAAACAATTTTTTGCAGACTACTACAACTTATCCAGTTATAATAGTTTTTTCTGCAAAAATCAATATAAAGCAAAATAGCGAACATTAAAGAGATTTATATCATAGAAATTTATATGTGAAAGTGACACCTATGTACAAGAACAATTATATATCCATGGCCATATATGTGTGTGTATGTGTGTGTCTGTATATATATATATATATATATATGTATATATATATGACTTAAAGGATACACAGTAAAAATGACTTAAAGGATACACAGTAAATAAATTAGAGCAAATACAATTGACAAAGAAAATGTTACTGAGATCAATTTTTAAGTGAGACAAAATAAACCAAATAAAAGAGTTTTTCTTTGACCATGAATCTATTATATCATGAACTAGCATGCTTAATCACAGAGATGTGTATACCAGCATTCCTCAACTGAGGGCTGTATGGATGCGCCCCCAGGATATCCCAATATGGCCACAAGTAAAACATGGAACATAAAAGGGGCAGGACATGAAATGATACTCAGGCCAACCAACAGGACAGTGGGCATGCCAGGAAGAAAATAAAGTTGGTTAGAGGTGGTACTCAGTAAGAGGCTGAAGAGTGGTTTATACTATTCCAAAGTAAATAAGGTTTAAAAAATTACATCTTGTAATAAGTATAGACTAGCATCATAATCTGTGAAGATATTTTGTTATTGAATTAGGACTGCTAGAAGTTCATAAATCAGGCACAGATCACAAAAGTCATGCACAGAAACCAATATTCTTATTTCATCAATCAACACTTCTGAGAAAAATCACTATCATACTATAGGTTTCTTAATATAAATGTTACATTCATATTTACCTTCTCAAGTTTATGCAAAATCAATGAGGCATATCACATGACTGGGAATAATATGCATGCCAACCTATAACAGTATTTTGTGTTATTTTTTTTCTTTTTTGGTTCTGAGTCATAGCAGGTGATGCTCAGAGCTTATTCGAGGCTCTGAAGTCAGGAATTATCCTGGCATTTTTCAGGAGACCATATGGATGCTAGGGGGGTGGAACCTGTGTTGACCGCATGCAAGGCAAATGCCTTACCAATGTATTATCACTCTAGCACTACTAATAATTGTTTTAACAAATATTAACCTTCCAACTTTGTAACCTCCACTAATTTCATAGTGGACACATATCTTAATGGAATAAATTATTTTTTTAATTTTTTTGAATAAATTATTTTTAAAATTTGTTTTCACTTTAATTTTTTACTATCTCTTCTTATTAAATACTGTAACTAGCCCCATAAAAGTTATTCCCTGATACTTACTATTTTTCCGATTATCTTAGTTTTTACATATCTTAGTTTTAAATTATAGGACATGTTGCCTTGTGTGCAGTCAGCCTGGCTGAGCCAGGTTCGATTCCTCCGCCCCTCTCGGAGAGCCTGGCAAACTACTGAGAGTATTCAATATGCCAAACACGGTAACAAGAAGTCTCACAATGGAGACGTTACTGGGCCTGCATAGAGCAAGTCTATGAACAATGGGAGGACAGTTATAATGCTGGGCTGGAGTGATAGCACAGTGGGTAGGGCATTTGCCTTGCACGCAGTCAACATGGCTGACCCAAGTTTGATTCCTCCACCCCTCTTGGAGAGCCTGGCAAGCTACTGAGAGTATCTAGCTTGCAGGGCAAAGCCTGGCAAGCTACCCGTGAAGTATTAGATATGCCAAACACATTAACAAGTCTCAAAATGGAGACGTTTCTGGGCCCGCTAGGACAAATCGATGAACAACGGGAGGGCTATGACAGTTATAATGCTAGTTATGAAAATTGACAAGAATACTCAAAAAGTGGGAAAAGCAGACACAGAGATAGGTAGAAGCAGACATATGAAGAGCTGCATATTCACTTATTCTTCTACATATAATGTTTGATGCAGTTACTAGTTCTCTCATAAAAAGAATGATATATACTTTTGTTATTTCATTTGGCTTCAGACTCTTAGCAACTATATTATCATCTCTATATTTTTCCTAATCAGCAACATTACTGTGATTTCCTTCCATAATTAGAGCATTTATTAAAAAAATTTCCATTGTTTGATACATTTCATGCTCTACTTTTTCCCTGCTGTGTCCCCACACTTAGGATGCTCAGAATTTATAGTTTACTTTCTTGTTGCTGCCATTTTATAGTATTGCATATTCTTTTATAAACTACAGAGAGCAGAGTTCTCTGTCAGGGTGTTCTTTTATATAGAAGCTTAGCAGTGGTGCTCGGAGAAGAACTATTTATTTTTGATGGGTTCTCTCAAGCAATATGTAATAACACCTTATATCTCAAATGGAACTTCTTAGTATATAGTGTCAAAGTATCACTGTTGGTGAAATGTTTTTTTATATTATAGCTCATGGTTCATAAGATAGTGTCATATCCAAGTTTTATAACATATAGTTATTAAGCAATCAGAAAATTTAACTCCACTGTTTGCTCTCTGAGAGGTGTGTGGACCTAGGACTTACTAAGAATAACAGACAGCCTGAGTTCTCCTCTCCCTTTTTTTAACAACTGCGAAACCACTTGCAAACTTAATTATGGTTCTCTGTCAAAACCATCATAGTTGTAGCTTTTAGATTTATAGAAAGTACCTTAAGAAACAGAGCTGTATGACTGGAGAAATTAATACAATGGATAGGGCACTTGCCTTTCATGTGGCAGATCTGGGTTCAGTCTCAGGCATCTCATATGGATCCTCAAACCTGCTGGTCTAGTAGTGATCCCTGAGTGCAGAGCCAGGAGTAATTCCTGAGCACTGGTGGGTGTGACCCCCACTACCTCCAAAAACAAAACCAACAAATAAACAAACAAACAAAAAGCAATAGAGCTTTATAGTCACAGAGATTAACACAGAGCTAAAGGCACTTAATATGCACTGGGGCCAAGGTGGATCCCTGAGCTCCACCAGGATGATCCTGTGGCAGAGCCAGGAATAAAGTGCTGAACACTTCTCGCTGTGACCACAAACCCCCACCCACAAAAATAAAATAACTAGAGTTTTTAGGCAGTTGTCATGGATTTATTTTCTCTCTCTCTCTCTCTCTCTCTCTCTCTCTCTCTCTCTCTCTCTCTCTCTCTCTCTCTCATTGTCTTTTGGGAAAATGTGCTATACAATTAAAGATAGCACAGAGGGTGGGGTGTTTGCCTTGCACACGGCCCAACCCGGGTTTGATTCCCAGCATCCCATATGGTCCCCCGAGCACGGCCAAGAGTAATTCCTGAGTGCATGAACCAGGAATAACCCCTGTGCATCGCTGGGTGTGACACAAAAAGAAAAAAAATAAGTACATTTAGAATAATGATAATCAAGAAGCCTCAAGCTAAGCCAGAGATATTTAAAGGTGTATGATCTGTTTCAAGAGTTAATATATCTTTCTGACAAAAAAAATGCATCATTAAAGCACAGTGGTGTTAGTAACTTAGGAGTTTTAAAACTCTTTTCTTTCAAAACTTGTTAAAAATATTTTTAATAGAACATTGATGTTTTTTAATGTTTTACTGAGCAGTCTATTATATTTTTTACCTGAGGGCAGGTAGGAACAATAAAGCTGAATTTTAATCACACCATTTTCCTTTTTATGATTTGACAGAGACTCACCTGCTATCCAGGTTTGAATTTTCCATACAAAAAGACTTTTCTATCTGCTGGCCAATTTAAATGCCGTTTTTTACTGTTGATTTTACTGTTGGCTGGTTAGATTGTTGGCAATTTGTTTTGTTTGTCTGTTCTTCTTGCTTATTTTTGTTCATATACGTTAACTGTAACTTTTAAAGCACAGATTAATGAAGGGTAATTATATTATTATCTCCCTACTTGTTTGCCTGTTTTTTCTGCTCACTTTTGTTCACATCTTAATTGTAATTTTTAAAGCACAGCTTAATGAAGGGTAATTTTATATTAGCACCCCTACATTTATGAGTGATGCTTTATTTTTACAATAATCTTCTACTATTTTATTTATTTTATTTGGTTGGAGAAGTTTGGGTCAGCAATAATCAGAGACTATCCCTGTCTCTGCTCAGTAGTCATCCCTGAAGGTGTCCAGGGGACCACATGTGGTATCCAATGGAGATCATGGTTGCAGTTGCCTGCAAAACAAGTGCTTGATCCCCTATACTATCTTTTTGACCCTACTTTGCATTACCTTAATTTGTTTTGGGATGTATATGAGACAAAGGAGACAACCAAAAGTCATGGTTGTTCTATAATACAGTATGTTTTGTGTTTAAAAAGATCCTAGACAATACTCAGATATCCTATATTTTTCCTAATGAGGATTAAGAACTGCCCCCAGTGCCCCAGAAAAGAGAGTGGCTTATGGAGAACACAGGAGTGACTTTGTGGCAGATCCATGTCTGGACATCTTGAGTGCTGTAGTTATTTTTCCTCTACATTGACCCCCTTTGCGCTACTGACAATGTACAGTGTGACATGTGAGCAGCCCCTAACAGCAAATCTTTTGTATGGACTTTGCTTCCCAAATTTGCTGGATGATGACTTCAGGAGTTTGACAGTGCATATGACAATATAATTTATCCTGTGACTGCACAGATGACATCCTGTGAATCCTGCTTGATACCTCTGAAAGAATTGTTCTTTGATGGATTAGAACTGTCTAGGAATCCCCAGTTTCCATAGTTTCCCTTTAAAATATTATGTTCAATTTTAGGTAGATACAAATGCCAGATAGGGTAACACAGTAATAATTTCTAAATTGCAATGTGATCCTAAATGCTACCCCTTTCTCATCTATGTCCTGTTTTCCTCTTCTAGGTTTGTGTGCTGGAGAGGCAAATATTTGACTTCCTTGGATATCAGTGGGCACCTATCCTGGCAAATTTTGTACATATTATTATTGTCATTCTTGGTTTATTTGGAACTATTCAATATAGACCTCGTTACATAACCGGAGTAAGTATACTTTCCAGATAATTATTTTTAATTTAAGTAGAAATAAATAACTACAGAGGTCTTCAAAACTTATATGTGTATAATGTTCTTGTAATTCTAAATTTGCATATAGCTTAAAAAATACATCAATAGTAATTAAAACTGTGGTTTAATAGTATATGAAAGTGAATGGAAGTAGATTTTATTTCCATAAATTATGCTTTCAGCAAATAGCTCCATGCAGTGAATAGCAGACCTATGCCTTATATTTATGAGTTATAAAACTAATACCTCTCCTTTAACAATCTTAATGTATTTTCCTCATTTAATAAATTGAATACTATTTTTAATAAACAGAATTAGATATATAGTTTTGACAGGGAGACAGTATTCAGAAAGGGGTTAATATTTTGAGAGTCAGAATTCTGAGCCATAGTCTCTCAGTATTCCATAATTCTCTTTGGCTGAAAGTATTTTGCATTCCCACTCAAGTTTAACTTACTTAACATAAAAGTGAATTCCAACAATGTTGCAGTTGCTATGGGAACCATAACTTAGAAATTTTTGCTTTTGTATGTGGCTCAGATCTCAGGCATGACTCTTCATTAATATAGTCTTTTTTTTTTAGTTTCATCATTTTTTTCTAGTTCTTATACTTTTAACAAAGGAAATGACTATAGGCATTTAAAATTATAAAGCAGGTTTGTCGTAAAAGCATATATTTAAGATAGCACTGCCAAAGCTTGGCCTTACTCAACATACACCAGCAGGATGTCTTCACTTTTACAAAGGTCTCTTACACATAAAAGATGCCCTCCTATGGCCTCATCTCTCAGACATAGGGAATCTAGATAAAGTTTATTGGTGCTGAAACAAGCAGTATGGTGGGAACTAGGGCCCAGGGTTCCATTAACTGATTAAGAATGTAAAGCATGGCCTTAATCTTTTCCTGTAGGTACACACCCAATGAAGTGTGTATCATCAGCGAGTGTTTAGCCATGGAAGTCTTGCAAAGAGAAGGATGTGTTCTATTGCAGCATAAAGTTTTAAATGCTTAGCATATCACAGTATTGTTCATAACCTCATGTAAGTTTTCATTTTATCTGATACAAGGTAGATAGTATAGTGTTTGGAGTGAGTCTGAAATCATAGTGCCAGGTTTGCTTCTTGCTTCTCACAAATCCCTTGTGATTTTAGCAGCAGCGTCACTTCATCTTAGTTTTCTTACTTGAAAAATGAAAGTAATAAATATATTAACTCATATGTTTCAGTTCATTGTTGTACTATTATCCACAAAAGGAAAGAATGTTAACATGTGTTTTCTATTTCATTACACGGAAACTCCTTCATAATTTTATTTTCATAACTAATGTTACTCTACAGATAGTTATCTGTAAATATTTTGACAAATGATTGGAGATATTAAGATGCCTTCATATAATGCTTTAAATCTAAAGGTTCCTAGTAAATTTCAGCTATAGTATTTGGTATTATTGAAAATGATATCATATCAGATAGACTGACAAGCAATTTAAAATATTTAACTGTTCTAAGTTTCTAGTTGAAATCTTTCTGTCTCTTTAATTCCAAGCTGCGACAACTTTTTAAAAAATTTGCAGTACTTTCAAATATATGAAATTATAATTCCATCTCTTTAACTAAAATGCGTACTTGCAAATCTTTTCAAGACAAGCCGCTTGGCAAGGAGTTAGGATGTTATGAGACACCTATAAAATTGTTAGAATTTTTTTGATAGCTGAATGTCTGGATTTTTTCTGAGGTCTAACAATGTGATTTAGAGCTACATCTTTGATTTGATCTTGACTTGCAAAAAACATTCTGAATTTGATATTTTCTTTGAGACAATGTCTTACTTGAAAAATCTGTTGCCAGCTGGGGTGTCTGTAAATGCAAAATTTTTTATTTTTCAACTCAGCAAGTCCCGGATTGGAAATGTATCCTTTAAAGTCTGTGTAGAAACAGCATTGTTACTTCTTTAACTTATACTTTCATGTATGTGTAGCTAAAGGATGACAAATAACAGTCAACATTTTGTTTGAAAATCCCCTTATATATAAATTCAGTTTATATTTTCTCATTTTCTGGTTGCTGCAGGGAAGAGTTGGGCTGATTATTCCAATAGTAATTCTCCTAATAATTCATGTTTCCATCCTTCCAAAACCTGTGCTTATCATTCTTCTAGGTTGAACAAGTGTCTCTTTGTGCCCTCTGTTCTGTACATGAGAGTCTTAGAACAGACACCTGGGGCACTAGAGAGTTATAATAGCAGGTAGGGCGCTTGCCTTACACATGGTTAACCCGGGCTTGATCCTGGCATCACATATGATGAGCCCTGCCAGGAGTGATTCCTGAGTGCAAACCCAGGTGTAAGCCCTAGGTACCACCAAGTGTGCTCCTCCCCCTGCACACACACACACACACACACACACACACACACACACACACATACACACACACACACACTGCATGCAAACAAAAAACCTGAGCTGTGGAAACTGGTGAGAGAGCAGGAATCATGCACTTTGCATGCAAGAATCCAGGGTCTATTCCACAGGCACATATGGTCACCCAAGCACTTGATCATTGCCAGATACAGCACAAAAAGAACACCAAGAAATTTGAATAAAACTTACATAGTGATAAACTGAATGCTTTACGATTATTTCTCAATAAAACAGAACTGTTTTTGTTCAGTAGTATCTTTCAATTTCTGATACCTGTATCTATCTATGTTTCAGTGTGACCTCTGTATAATGAATCATTTCTATGAAGATTTTTTCTTTATTTATGTGATTTAATGGTCATGATTCCATGTTAAAAGTCAAAGAAACTCTAAAACAATGGGAACGTGACATAAAATAGAATTAAGAATTTTCAGTTTACCCAAAGATGATAAATGCATTTCAATTAAAAGAAACTTGAATTAAATCATAGGTAACAGAATTTCTGGTTAGTAAATAATCTTGGCTTTGAAGAAAATTTGTAATTAGGGGCAAACTTTAATAACAATAATGTGTTACACTGCCTAAGAAATTTTTACCATATCTCTGTGCATTGAACTTAGAAAATTAATATTAATTTTTATCCTATAAAAATATAAGCCATAATGATATGTATATTCCATTTTATATTTTATAACATAAAGCAACTTAGTATAAAATATGGAAAATTATTTTGTAATTTCACAACCAAACATTATTTTTGTATTTTCCATACTACCCTAGGGAATATGGAAATAAAATATGTTTGTTACACTATATATTCAAATATATGTTATGATTTCTTTAGTACTGCATCAAATAATACTATTCAATTATATGTTTCACGTTTCACACCTTGCTATATGTAAGTATATACATATATATCTCTCATTTTACCCATAGTGTGTTAGTGTTTATCTTGTCTATTCAAATATATTAATCAATATACACATATGTACATAATAAATTAAATATATTTACTCTCTGTAATTCATTTTTATTTTGAAATTTATATTTTATGTTTTAATGCTATATTACCTCTGTAATCACTCTGTTGATTTTGGAATTTATAAAATTTGAATATCTTTTTTAAAATACTGTATCGCTTCAAGACAAATGCTTTGAAATAGCATCCAGGAAAAGGGTATTCCTTTTACTGTTACTTGCTCTTTACAAAGAGTTTCAAATTATTGATGAGACATTTTATTTTATGAAAATATTTTTACAGGAATGCAAATATAGTCTGAAACAATAAGCACATAGTGCCAAATTGAATTTAAATCTATTGGTAATGAGTTCTGTTTCCTTTACTAATATTCTTTTCCATAAGAGCAAAGAAGAATTTAAAATAGTTAATTGGAACAAGAACTCATTAGTAGCTTTTGAAGGCCTCTGGCATTTTAAAGAATATAAATATGTTGAAGAAAGTGAAATAGATTATTTCAATTTCAGGCAAAGGAAATATGAAATCAGGATCCTTAGAAAGAATCTGTCTTTTGTTATTTACAACAACATGAAATCCTAAAGAAAACACCATATTAACTCTGGTTGTTTTATTCATAAATAAAAACGTACAATGTCTTTCATGAAAACATTACCTTGTGTCACAGTTGAAATTGTCCTATAAATCTTCATTTGGGATGCAATTTTGAATTCCAATGCTTGCTATTAATAGTACAAGCTTGTTATTGCTTAACACGGAAAGAAATATCTAGTTGTGCTGTTTTAGACTTCTTAAAATAATCCAAGGAGTTGTTTGTGTTTCTGGTAACGATACATCTTTCTTCATGATATTGCCAAAGGAACATTTTGTCAGAACAATATTTTCTTATTCTATCCTTCTTTCCTAACATTTCTCTATTTCTCCTAACCCACTTCATCCCTCCCATCTCCATTCCTCCTTCCCATCTACTCACACCTATCTAGTGCCATATCCCCTTCCTTACCTTCTTCACTCCTATCTAATCCCATACCCACTTCTTCCTTCCCACCTCCCCTATGTACCTTCCTTACTTCCTCTCGCTCTTCATTCTTACCACTTAATTAAATTATTTAAAAAAATGTTGTAGGGGGTGGCCCTATTGACTTTATCAAAGAGACTCAGTCCTGAACTAGAAAAAAACTTAAAATACTAAACATCCTTTTGAAACTGGTAAAGACAGAGATGATAGAGTAAAACAACACTATTCTAAAGTTTATAGAAATCAGGATAAGCATTAGCATCATTATCATCATTATTACTTTTATTATTATTTCCAAACTCCTTAGAGTTATGCTTTGATACTATTTTCCTAAAATCTTGTAAATCGCACATTAACTTCTTAGTTCTTTCAACCAACTCATATGACTAGCAAAAGGACTTGAGCCCCATGCCCCCTAATTCTGAACCCTTTACTGAGAAGCCATGAGAAGAGCAAATCATGTTTTATGAATGAAATGGTATTGGTTAAATTGCTGGAATTTTAAAATTCATCATTTATTTTGAAGAGCATTTAGAAATTTAAATTATGAGGTTGGGGA